TGGGTGGGTGGGTGGGTGGGTTGGGTGGGTGGGTGGGGTTGGTGGGTTGGGTGGGTTGGGTGGGTGGGTTGGGGGGTTGGGTGGGTTGGGTGGGTGGGTTGGGTGGGTGGGTTGGGTGGGTTGGGTGGGTGGGTTGGGTGGGTGGGTTGGGTGGGTTGGGTTGGGTGGGTGGGTTGGGTGGGTTGGGTGGGTGGGGTGGGTTGGGTTGGGTGGGTGGTGGCGTGGTTGGGATGGGTGGGTGGGTTGGGTGGGTTGGGTGGGTTGGGTGGTTGGGTTGGGTGGGTGGGTGGGTTGGGTTGGGTTGGGGGGTGGGTTGGTTGGGTGGGTTGGTGGGGGTGGTTGGGTGGGTGGGTGGGTTGGGTGGGTGGGTGGGGTTGGTTGGGTGGGTGGGTGGGTGGGTTGGGTTGGGTGGGTGGGTGGGTTGGGTTGGGTGGTGGGTGGGTGGGTGGGTGGTTGGGTAGGGGGTGGGTGGGTTGGGTGGGTGGGTGGGTGGGTGGGTTGGGTGGGTTGGGTGGGTGGGTGGGTGGGTTGTGGTGGGTTGGTGGGTGGGTTGGGGGGGTGGTGGGTGGGTGGGTGGGTGGGTGGGGGTGGGTTGGGGGGGTGGGGGTGGGGTGGGTGTGTGGGGTGGGTTGGGTGGGGGGTGGGTTGGGTGGGGTGGGTGGGTGGTGGGTGGGTTGGTGGGTGGGTGGGGTGGTGTGGGTGGGGTGGGTGGGGTGGGTGGGTGGGGGGTGGGGTTGGGTTGGGTGGTGTGGGTGGGTGGGTGGGGTTGGGGGTTGGGGGGGGGTTGGGTGGGTGGGGTGGGGTGGGTGGGTGGGGGGGGGGTGGGTGGGTGGGGTGGGTGGGGTGGGTGGGTGGGTGGGTGGGTGGGGGTGGGTTGGGTGGGGTGGGTGGGTGGGTTGGGTGATGGGTGGGTGGGTGGGTTGGTGGGTGGGGTTAGGTGGGTGGGTGGGGTGAGGTGGGTGGGGTGGGTGGGTGTGGTGGGTGGGGTGGGTGGGTGGGGTTGGTTTGTGGGGTGGGTGGGGTGGGTGGGTTTGGGTGGGTGGGTTTGGGTGGGTTGGGTTGGGTGGGTGGGTGGGTTGGGTGGTGGGTGGGTGGTGGGGTGGGTGGGTTGGGTGGGCTGGGTTGGGGGGGTTGGGGTGGGTGGGTTATGGGTGGGTTGGGTGGGTTGGGTGGTGGGTTGGGTGGGTTGTGTTGGGTGGGTGGGTGGGTGGGTTGGGTGGTTTGGGTGGGTGGGTGGGTGGGTGGGTGGGTTGGGTGGGTGGGGGTTGGGTGGGTGGGTGGGTGGGTGGGTGGGTGGGTGGGTGGGTTGGGTGGGTGGGTTGGGTGGGTGGTTGGGTGGTTGGGTTGGGTGGGTTGGGTGGGTGGGTTGGGTGGGTCGGGTGGGTGGGTGGGTTGGGTTGGGTGGGTGGGTGGGTTGGTTGGGTGGGTGGGTGGGGTGGTGGGTTGGGTGGGTTGGGTGGGTGGGTTGGGTGGGTTGGGTGGGTTGGGTGGGTGGGTTGGGTGGGTGGGTTGGGTGGGTTGGGTGGGGGGTTGGGTGGGTGGGTGGGTGGGTTGGGTTGGGTGGGTTGGTTGGGTGGGTTGGGTGGGTTGGGTGGGTTGGGTTGGTGGGTGGGTGGGTTGGGTGGGTTGGGTGGGTTGGTTGGGTGGGTCGGTTGGGTGGGTGGGTGGGTTGGGTGGGTTGGGTGGGTTGGGTTGGGTTGGGTGGGTTGGGTGGGGGTTGGGTTGGGTGGGTTGGGTTGGGTTGGGTGGGTTGGGTGGGTGGGTGGGTGGGTTGAGTGGGTTGGGTGGGTGGGTGGGTGGGTGGGTTGGGTGGGTTGGGTGGGTGGTGGTTGTCGTGGGTTTGGGTTGGGTGGGTTGGGTTGGGTGGGTGGGTTCGGTGGGTTTGGGTGGGTGGGTTGGGGGGTTTTGGTGGGTTTGGGTTGGGTGGGTGGGTGGTTGGGTGGGTTGGGTGGGTTGGGTTGGGTGGGGTTTGGTGGGTTGGGTTGGGTGGGTGGGTGGGTTGGGTGGGTTGGGTGGGCTTGGGTGGGTGGGTTGGGTGGGTTCGTGGTTGGGTGGGTTGGGTGGGTGGGTTGGGTGGGTTGGGTGGGTGGGTTGGGTGGGTTGGTTGGGTTGGGTGGGTTGGGTTGGGTGGGGGGTTGGGTGGGTTGGGGTGGGTGGGTTGGGTGGGTGGGTGGGTTGGTGGGTGGGTGGGTTGGGTGGGTTGGGTGGGTTGGGTGGGTTGGGTTGAGTGGATTGGGTTGGGTTGGGTGGGTGGGTGGGTTGGGTGGGTGGGGTGGGTGGGTGGGTGGGTTGGGCTGGGTGGGTTGGGTTGGTTGGGTTGGTGGGTGGGTTGTGTGGGTTGGGTTGGGTTGGGTGGGTGGGTGGGTGGGTTGGGTGGGTTGGGTTGGGTTGGTTGGGTGGGTGGGTTGGGTTGGTTGGGTGGGTTGGGTGGGTTGGGTGGGTGGGTTGGGTGGGTTAGGTGGGTTGGGTGGGTGGGTTGGGTGGGTGGGTGGGTTGGGTGGGTTGGGTGGGTGGGTTGGGTTGGTGGGTGGGTGGGGTGGGTGGGTTGGGTGGGTTGGGTGGGTTGGGTTGGGTTGGGTGGTTGGGTGGGTTGGGTGGGTTGGGTGGGTGGTGGGTTGGGTGGGTGGGTTGGGTGGGTTGGGTGGGTTGGGTTGGTTGGGTTGGGTGGATTGGGTTGCCTTCGTCAACCAACAACATTGCACGTTCTGGGTATGTGTGTGTGGTGCCTCAGACGCAATTGAAACCGAGGCGCCACCAATTAAACAAAAATACTTTTCGTTCATTTCCGATTTTTTTTTGCCTTTTTTTAATTTCACTTTTCAAAGTTACAGCCGATACAAACGCGGCCGCTCCTCCGCTCATGGCCCCACGCTGCCGCTCCGCGCGGACACGGGAGCCGTTCCAGTGTCCTGGCGTCAAATCGTCCAGACCGCTACGCGGAAAGTGACGACTATTGTGTCGATGACGACGACGACGAAGATGACGATTGGGGCGAGAGGAATCCGCGATATCTCAAAACACTGTGTAACAACATTTTTTTTATTATATTTTTTTGTTTCTTGGGTAGTAAGTGGTATTTTTTATAATTGCATAAGCCTGAAAAGTGCAGAAAGTGGCTATTATTCCCCACGAACTTTGCTTTTGTGACCAGGACAGCGATATTTTGTAACGTACCCAATTTTCAATGAGAATAAATGCGAATTTGCGTCTTCCGTTCACATGAAGTCCTAGTCACGAAGAAAAGTTCGTGGGGTATATAAAGCCACTTTCTATACTTTTTCGGCATAAGCAATTAGAATATAACACTTACTACCCAGGAACAAAAAATAGTGTTACACGGTGTAATCAATCATATATATATCATTAATAAAAAAAAATCTCAGATTTGTCAAATATTGTGGATTTGCTCTCCAACACGCAACCGGTTGTTGCTGTACTCGAAACGAATTTGGGCACGTTCTGTTCACGTGGACAAACCTACTAGTTGGCCGTGCGGGTTGGTGGCAGGTTTACCGGACACATTTATATTCTTTGGGTCTTTCGGCAAAGTCGCGTAGATAGGTTCAAAGAAAAATAACAAAAAAAACTACGGACGTTTCGATCGCTTGTGTTGCTATCGAAACGTCGTAGTTTTTTTAATTTTCTTTGAACCTATCTACGCGACTTTGCCGAAAGACCCAAAGAATATGAATTCCTGCAGCCACGAAAGCTTTAAGTCAAGACACATTCATATTTACGCGATCTAACCCAGCGAAACCTCTTTAACGGATATTGGTCGCGGTTAAATCTCATCAAAAACCCGATATTCCACAACCAACCCCTCCACCATTGAGCTGATGTCGTCACTTACGCCACCGCTGTTGGACCTATCAAGTATCATACATTTACACTTCCCCTATGTTGTCTTTGTAGTGGCTAATATGGACTATGGTGATTATTATTGTTGTTATGTTTGTATATTTACACTATATCGTGGAGACCCGATGGCTCAGAGGTGCACAGAAGCTGAGATCCCTTGGGTTCGAGTCCCGAGTGTCAGCCTCAAACCAAAGGGATTACAGCACCCATAGACTCACACAGAGAGTCGTATGACTCACACAGAGACCTGTAGACTCACACAGAGACCCATAGACTCACACAGAGACCCATAGACTCACCAGAGACCCATAGACTCACACGGAGACCCATAGACTCACACAAGACCCATAGGACTCACACAGAGACCCACAGACTCACACAGAGGACCCCACAAACACACACACAAACACACAGAGTCCACATAGACCTATAGTCATAGAGACCCATAGACTCATATCGAGACCCATATACTAACATACAGACCCACATACTCACACATAGGGTCTATCAGAAAAACCCACACTCAGAACTCGAACCCAGGGTCTCGGTGGTGTTGGCTCAATTTCTACGACACGGCCATTATGAACCACCCAGATATATAGAGAGACATCCCAGACTCAGGGCTCAAACCGCAGGCACTGAGAGTGGCCTGATTCTTGTTCTTGTGAAGTGAAGTCTGGCCCAAAGGCCACAGGAAATGCATTTTCGGGCCACGGGAAATTCAGTTGGGAGCCACATGAAATTAAGTTGGCGGCCACAAGAAAATGAAGTCACAGGCCACAAGAATTGACGTCGTGGGTCGTGAGAAATTAAGCCGCGGGCGACGGAAAATTTAGTCATAGGCCACAGGAAATGAAGTCATGGCCCATAAGAATTGAAGTCGTGGGCCATAAGAAATTAAGTTATGGGCCGCAGTAAATGAAGTCATTGGCCACAGGAAATGAAGTCATTGGCCCACAGGAAATGAAGTCATTAGCCACAGGAAATTAAGTCATTGGCCACAGGAAATGAAGTCATTGGCCACAGGAAATGACGTCATGGGCCACAGGAAATGACGTCATGGGTCACAGGAAATGAAGTCATTGGCCACAGGAAATGAAGTCATTGGCCACAGGAAAGGAAGGCCATTGGCCACAGGAAATGACGTCATGGGCCACAGGAAATGACGTCATGGGCCACAGGAAATGAAGTCATGGGTCACAAGAATTGAAGTCATGAATTCATAACAACTGAAGTCATTGGCCACAGGAAATGAAGTCATGGGCCACAGGAAATGACGTCATGGGCCACAGGAAATGAAGTCATGGGTCACAAGAATTGAAGTCATGAATCATAACAATTGAAGTCATTGGCCACAGGAAATGAAGTCATTGGCCACAAGAAATGAAGTCATTGGCCACAGGAAATGAAGTCCTTAGCTACAGGAAATTAAGTCATTGGCCACAGGAAATGAAGTCATTGGCCACAGGAAATGACGTCATGGGCCACAGGAAATGAAGTCATGGGTCACAAGGAATTGAAGTCATGAATCATAACAATTGAAGTCATTGGCCACAGGAAATGAAGTCATTGGCCACAGGAAATGAAGCCATTGGCCACAGGAAATGACGTCATGGGCCACAGGGAAATGACGTCATGGGCCACAGGAAATGAAGTCATGGGTCACAAGAATTGAAGTCATGAATCATAACAACTGAAGTCATTGGCCACAGGAAATGAAGTCATGGGCCACAGGAAATGACGTCATGGGCCACAGGAAATGAAGTCATGGGTCACAAGAATTGAAGTCATGAATCATAACAATTGAAGTCATTGGCCACAGGAAATGAAGTCATGGGCCACAGGAAATGACGTCACGGGCCACAGGAAATGAAGTCATGGGTCACAAGAATTGAAGTCATGAATCATAACAATTGAAGTCATTGGCCACAGGAAATGAAGTCATGAGCCACAGGAAATGACGTCACGGGCCACAGGAAATGACGTCATGGGCCACAGGAAATGACGTCACGGGTCACAAGAAATGAAGTCGCGGACCACGGGAAACGAAGCTAGGAGTCCCTAATGAACGAAGTCGCGTGTGTCCCGCGTGTCGTCATCGTCTCTGCCCCCCCCCCAATCCCACCCTCCCACTAGTTGGAGACCTGGAGGTGGAACTCGACGCTGGCCGATGAACTTGTCTCGGTTGTTTTCGTCCACGACTACGTTGGGCCCCGACAGGCGGCACACCACCTGCAGATCGGTGTTGCGGGGCGGGCTCAGGAACTGCACGGCCACCACGGGCTGACGGTAGGCACCCTGCGAGGGGCGGACGACGGAGAGAGGAGACGGGGAGGGAAGGGGATTTGGGATCGGGAGAGGGGAGATGGAGAGAGAGAGAGAGATGTAGACACGGAGAGTAGGGCACCCCCAGTGGCAGCTGTACCTGTGCCTGAGTCTGCTGCCAGTAGGGGTAGCGATGATTGCTGCTGCTGCTGTGTGGGTCTAGCAGAGGGGTACCCCCAGTGGCAGCTGTCACTGTGCATCAGTCTGCTGCCAGTAGGTGTAGCGATGATTGCTTCTGCTGCTGCTGTGTGGGTTTAGCAGAGGAGCACCCCCAGTGGCAGCTGTCACTGTGCATGACTCTGCTGCCAGTAGGTGTAGCGATGATTGCTGCTGCTGCTGCTGTGTGGGTCTAGGAGAGGGTACCCCCAGTGGCAGCTGTCACTGTGCATCAGTCTGCTGCCAGTAAGGTTAGCGATGATTGCTGCTGTGTGGGTCTAGCCTAGGGGCACCCCCAGTGGCAGCTGTCACTGTGCATCAGTCTGCTGCCAGTAAGGTTAGCGATGATTGCTGCTGTGTGGGTCTAGCCTAGGGGCACCCCCAGTGGCAGCTGTCACTGTGCATCAGTCTGCTGCCAGTAGGTTGTTGTAGCGATGATTGCTTCTGCTGCTGCTGCTGTGTGGGTTTAGCGAGGGGCATCCCCAGTGGCAAGCTCTCTCTGTGCACGAGTCTATCAATAGGATGCGACAGCTGCTGCGCGTGTCATTCCAACTAGACACAATCATGTTGAAATGCTGCTGATGCTGATGATGCTGCTGGGTGATGATAATGCTGATGATGATGCTGATGATGATGATGCTGCTAATGATAATGCGGCTGAAGATGCTGTTGATGATGCTGATGTTGGTGACTCTTCACACACTCACGTCTGTTTTCTTGCCATAGTAGGTGAAGTACATGGGATCGAACTTGTTTTCAGGGTAGAACTTCAGAGGTCCCAGGTCCGTGTCTTTCTGGGAATCATCAGCAGCAGGAGCAGCAGGGAGGCGACGACACGCACAGAAGCACACCACGTCAGGCTGTCTCCTAAAGGTCGCTCTCTCTGAGTCGCCCTCTCTCTCTCTCTGAGTCGTCCCTCACTCTCTCTGTGAGGCTCTCTCTCTGAGTCGCCCTCTCTCTCTCTGAGTCGTCCTCTCTCGCTCTGAGTCTCTCTCTCTCTCTCTGTGAGGCTCTCTCTAAGTCGCCCTCTCTCTCTCTGAGTCGTCCTCTCTCTCTCTGAGTCGTCCTCTCTCGCTCTGAGTCTCTCTCTCTGTGAGGCTCTCTCTAAGTCGCCCTCTCTCTCTCGCTGAGTCGTCCTCACTCTCTCTCTCTCTCTCTGAGTCTCTCTCTCTCTCTGTGAGGCTCTCTCTAAGTCGCCCTCTCTCTCTCTCTCTCTGAGTCGACCTCACTCTCTCTGAGTCTCTCTCTCTCTGAGAGGCTCTCTCTAAGTCGCCCTCTCTCTCTCTGAGTCGTCCTCACTCTCTCTGAGTCTCTCTCTCTCTCTGTGAGGCTCTCTCTAAGTCGCCCTCTCTCTCTTTGTGAGGCTCTCTCTAAGTCGCCCTCTATCTCGCTGAGTCGCCCTTCTCTCTCTCTGAGTCTCTCTCTGTGTGAGGCTCTCTCTAAATCGCCCTTTCTCTCTCTCTCTCTGAGTCGCCCTCTCTCTCTTTCTCTCTGAGTCTTCCTCTCTCCCTCTCTGAATCTATCTCTCTGTGAGGCTCTCTCTAAGTCGCCCTCTCTCTCTCTCTCTCTGAGTCGTCCTCACTCTCTCTCTCTCTCCCTGAGTATCTCTGTCTCTGTGAGGCTCTCTCTAAGTTGCCCTCTCTCTCTCTCTCTCTGAGTCGACCTCACTCTCTCTGAGTCTCTCTCTCTCTCTCTGTGAGGCTCTCTCCTAAGTAGCCCTCTCTCTCTCTCTCTGAGTCGTCCTCACTCTCTCTGAGTCTCTCTTTCTCTCTGTGAGGCTCTCTCTAAGTCGCCCCTTTCTCTCTCTCTGAGTCGTCCTTACTCTCTCTGAGTCTCTCTCTCTCTGTGAGGCTCTCTCTAAGTCGCCCTCTCTCTCTTGAGTCGTCCTCACTCTCTCTCTCTCTCTGAGTCTCTCTCTCTCTCTCTGAGTCGTCCTTACTCTCTCTGAGTCTCTCTCTCTCTCTGTGAGGCTCTCTCTAAGTCGCCCCTCTCTCTCTGAGTCGTCCTCTCTCTCTTTGAGTCTCTCTCTCTCTCTCTCTGTGAGGCTCTCTCTGAGTCGCCCTCTCTCCCTCTCTGAGTCTCTCTCTCTGTGAGGCTCTCTCTCTCTGTGTGAGGCTCTCTCTAAGTCGCCCTCTCTCTCTCTCTCTGAGTCTCTCTCTCTGTGAGGCTCTCTCTCTCTGAGTCGCCCTCTCTCTCTCTGAGTCGTCCTCTCTCTCTATAATTGTTGTGTATATTGTGTATTATGTAATTGTTGTGTATATTTTATAATATATAATTGTTGTGTATATTATGTAATATAATTGTTGCGTATATTATGTTATATATAATTGTTGTATATATTATGCAATATATCATTGGTGTGTATATTATGTAATATATAATTGGTGTGTATAATATGCACTATAATTGGTGTGTATATTATGTATTATATAATTGTTGTGTATATTATGTGATATATAATTGTGTATGTTATGTTATATAATTGTTGTATATATTATGTGATATATAATCGTTGTATATATTATGTGATATATACTTGTTGTGTATATTATGTGATATATAATTGTTGTGTATATTATGTAATATACAATTGTTTTGTATATTATATTATATAATTGTTGTGTATATTATGTATTTTATAATTGTTGTGTATATTATATAATATATAATTGTTGTGTATATTATGTTTTTTATAATTGTTGTGTATATTATATAATATATATTTGTTCTGTATATTGTGTAATCTAATATTGTTGTGTATATTATATAATATATACTTGTTGTGGATATTATATAATATATAATTGTTGTGGATATTATGTTTTATGTAATCGTTGTGAATACTATATAATATATAATTGTTGTGTATATTATGCAATATATAATTGTTGTGTATATTATGTAATATATAATTGTTGTGTATAATATGCACTATAATTGGTGTGTATATTATGTATTATATAATTGTTGTGTATATTATGTGATATATAATTGTGTATGTTATGTGATATATAATTGTTGTGTATATTATGTAATATACAATTGTTTTGTATATTATATTATATAATTGTTGTGTATATTATGTATTTTATAATTGGTGTGTATATTATATAATATATAATTGTTGTGTATATTATGTTTTTATAATTGTTGTGTATATTATATAATATATATTTGTTCTGTATATTGTGTAATCTAATATTGTTGTGTATATTATATAATATATACTTGTTGTGGATATTATATAATATATAATTGTTGTGGATATTATGTTTTATGTAATCGTTGTGAATACTATATAATATATAATTGTTGTGTATATTATGCAATATATAATTGTTGTGTATATTATGTAATATATAATTGTTGTGTATATTATGTAATATATAATTGTTGTGTATAGTATATAATATATAATTGTTGTGTATATTATGTAATATATAATTGTTGTGTATATTATGTAATATCTAATTATTGTGTATATTAAGCAATATATAATTGTTGTGTATATTATGTAATATCTAATTATTGTGAATATTATGTAATATCCAATTATTGTGTATATTATATAATATATAATTGTTGTGTATATTATGTTTTATATAATTGTTGTGTATATTATGTAATATATAATTGTTGTGTATATTATATAATATATAAT